GTTTTGTCTATAAGTATGGGGACTGGTGTTGGACCAGCATGCACTGGGGCGGGCCCATAGTTTTTTCTTTTTTTTACCAGAGCAGGAGAAGCAGCAGGAAATAGAGACGTATAAAGGCCTTTCCAAGTTGGATGAATAAACACCAAAAATACTCAACAGTTAAGGTCATTTGGACACCGGGCATCTCTTCAGGAAACTGGTTGGACAAACAAACAAACAAGGAAATTGGTTGGAAAACCAAGTACTCGCCACCACACATATAATAAATCATTTCTATTCAGAATATGAATGTGATGAACATAATGACATCATTCTGTTAGTTAAATCAAACATTTCAGGTTTTTCAGCTTGATTGTACAGGTGACATGCTCCAGCTTGACCACTAGATGGCAGCAAAGCAACACAGTAAATCCAGCAGAGCCCGCCACATCCCTCACATGTTCAAATCAGAGGTATGCGGTGAATAATGAGGCCATAAGGGGATTGATTATGACTTTTCTTGTTGTGAGCTCATTTTTAACCCTTTAAAGCATTAATGAGGACAATAAAATCATAATTAAATAGAATACTTTAAATAAACTGTTAGAATAAACCAAAAACATAGTTTTTATCTAAAACTTAGGTGGTCCTCTGCTCTTGTTTCTGTGTCCCTTTCTCTGATGGCATCTGTTCCAGCCTGACAGACAAGAGAAAGACAGAGAGAAGGAGGGAGGGAGGGATGGAGAGAACTTCATTGCAAGCGAATTAATTTCTCATCCACGCCTCCAGAGCCTATAGCAGCTTGTTCACTAGCTGCTGCTGCGGCGGCGGCGTGTGTCTGCTGAGTCGGAGCCTCATACATAATGCATCAGGTTTAATTGCAAACCCAGAAACTAATGACTTTGGACTGGTTAACAGCAGGGGAGCCATACATCTCGAGCAAGTTGAATGAAAAATCAGCTCAGAGGAAAGAAAAAAAACGAAGCCTAGCCCCTAATTGATGAATAATTGAAGCGGCGAGCTACAGGGCATAATTGTGACATTTTGTTTCAATCAATTTCCAAGTGGTGTGGGCGAAAGTGCACTTAAAGGGAAAAGGCAATGACAATGAATGTGAAGGGGAGAGAGAGAGAGAGAGAGAGAGAGAGAGAGAGAGAGAGAGAGAGAGAGAGAGAGAGAGAGAGAGAGAGATGGAAATGGACGAGTCTTCAGTCACTAAAATGACATTTGGAGGTGAAAGACTGGATAAAGTGACTTTCTTCTACGTCTTCCTCAGATTCTTTCAGGCTGTCATTAAGTGACTTTTTCATCTCAGCAAATGCATTTTTCCTTTGGAAGCAGCACATCCTGAAGCCAGACCCACCTCAGAGCTTCCGGATGTTTCCTTTTTGTTACTAAATCTTTCTTTCAAAACTCAAAATGAGCAATCCAGAGTTTTGTTTTATCTAGCAGCACATCAGTACGTAAGCGGATGTCTAACGCTATTGGCTAATGCTGAGGCGTGCTCAGTTTAAACTGCATGGGTCTCTACGGGGGACGGGGGACAGGCCGAAGCCTGATTTTTAGAGAGGGTGCTCGCTGCAGAACCACAAAGGCGGAGCTGCACCAGAGTCAGCCCCGCCCACTCACGCAAACAGCCTAGCCCACTGACTTCTTCTGTTTGTTTGTTGTTGTTTTTTTTTTCTAATTTTATCGCAAGCTAACCTGACCCACATGAATTACGGCTGTCACTACTTTACAAATGTTAATGCTATGTTCTATGCTCCAATTAAGCAAGATAAATATAACTTGCTGCACGACAAAGCCTGAATATATCCCGAAATGAAAAGGTTTCTTTTAGCAAATGTCCATAGCCGCTCCAACAGAACCAGCCTAGAAGAGCGCTTAAGGACAATTATTTGGTGTAGTCTATTGGCGACATCGTCTCACTTAAATTTTGCTTTCCCTGCCGCTGATGTTGGTTCGACTCTCGGTGGGGTCGGCAGCTATCTATTTAGCCAGCTGAAACATTAAATTTGTTTATATTTTTGTTGTAATGTTTATTTTCTACAAAATATTGATGTCTCTAAAAGTTCTCTGAATTTGGTCGTTCCTAAACAGCATTTTAGTTGAAACTCTGCTCACAAATGGACTCACACTGGCTAAATAAACTAATAAATAGAAAAACAAACACGTTAGTCATTATACTGTAAACGGTATACCAATAAATGGTTAAAAACATAGTACTGGCAGGAGTAGCTAGAAAAGAAGAAAAAAGTTTGCGCCGTTACCGGGAGGCGAACCTGCGCAAAATTACATGGCAAGCTGACTGCACAACCACTTAACTATGGACCTAGGATTGGGACAATATTCAGCGTAACTTGTACCAAGTTTTGTAACTTCGAACATGTTTCATCACATGTAACTTTGGATTCGTAACTTGTAACTTTATTTTTCTAACTTGTAATTCTCAATTCGTACTTGTATTTCTTGTTTTGTAACAGGAACATTGTATTTTGTACATGTATGTTTTTATTTTGTA